ATCTTAGTTCCCTGACCAGAGATCGAACCCATGTCCCCTGCATTGGAAGGCAGATTCTTAACCACTGGACCACCAGAGAAGTCCTTAAATATGAGTTTTTAGAACTCCTTTCTTTACTTTGGTTTTGCCAAATATACAGTTGTATCTATTGTTTCAGAATTATTGTTGTTGTTGTTTTAATGTTGCATATTTTCTAGAGACTAGCTGGTGAATGATTTTGTATCTGATGCGTATGAGAGCCTATTGAAATTAAAATCCTAGTATGGAAATTACTCAGAGGAAACTCACCACAAATTTAAACATAGATAATACACCCATTAGAATGACTAAAACAAAAAATAGTAATAATACCAAATACTGGCATGGATGTGAGGAAAACTGGATCTCTCACATATTGCTGGTGGAAATGTAGAATGCTGCACTGATCTAGAAAATAATTTGGCGGCAGTTTCTTACAAAACTAAACACACACTAACCATCTGATCCATCAATTGTGCTTTCGGGCCTTTATCCCAGATAAATGAAAACTTATGTTTGTGCAAAAAAAACTGTACATGAATGCTCATAGCAACTTTATTCTTAATAGCAAAGTACTGGAAACAACCCAAGTATCCTTCAGTGAGTGAAGAGTTCAACAAATTTGGTATATCCAAACAATGGAATACTACTCAGCAATAAAAAGGAGTGAATACATGAAACAACTTGAATGGACCTCCAAGGTATTATGCTCAGTTTAAAAAAAATGGAGCTCAAAATGTTATTGGGTTGTGGCCAAAAAGTTCATTTGACTTTTTCCGTAAGATGGTATGGAAAAGCCCGAACGAACTTTTTGGCCAGCCCACATACACAGTATTAATATATGATTCCTAAAATGATAAAATTATAGAGATGACAGATAGATTAGTGTTTGCCTGGTGATAGGGACAAGGGGTAGGGTGGAGGAAACACAAGAGAGTTCTTCTGTGGTGATGGAAAAGTTCTGTAAGTCGATTGTGGTGTGGTTACACAAATCTATACATAGGATTAAATTGCATAGAAGTGTCTACACACACACACACACACACACACACACACACAAATACAGATGAATGCAGGTTGAAAAAATCATGAAAACTGAATAGGTCTATAAACTCACTAGCAGCAATGTATTGACCTTAATTTCCTCATTTTGATATTGTCCTACAGCTATATGAGATGTTTCCAATGAGGGAAGGTGAGTGAAGGGTACCCAGGACTCCACTGGTTTTGCAGCTTCTTATGAGTCTATATTGATTTCAATATTAAAAGATTTTTTAAGAGTAGCTGTAGCACAATTATTAAACACTATTAAACATTTAAAAATAGAACCAGCCCTTCATACAATTGGCATTTAAAACAACCTTCTTTTCAGAGGCTTACTTCTAAAAGTCTTCCATTTGAAATGGTGATTTTTTATTTCAATTCAAGCATGCAGTTGTGTCGAAAAATATGGTCTGTGAACATAAAAGCTTCAACTTTGCTCCTCCGCTCGGTTTTCTTCTTCTTAAAATGCCCTTTATTTGACCAAGAAGGATATCATTTCCCAAAGTACCGAGAGAGCCATATTTAACTTGAACAGCACTGTTCTTTTAGGTTATTAAGGCTGTTCAATTTTCACTATTTGTTGCTACCCTGAGTTGGAGACTCTTCTGAAACGTCAGACTGAGAAAATTGTACTAGTTCCAACACACACACACACACACACACACACACACATACACACACACACACACACACACACACAGAGCAAAGCTTTGGAATTAGTGCAATAAATAACCTTTGAAAACAATTAAAAAGCAACAATTGAATGCTAAGATGTATAAAACTGTCTTGTGCCTTTTTTTCTTTGAACATCAGCGTGACCAAGGAATCAAGAAACACACTACAGAGTTCAACTGAAAAAGCATTTATTGAGTACCTATATATCATAATCATAATACCTTATAATGACATGCATGTTATGCAGAGTGGTATAGGTTATAATGATGATAAAAGAGTTTACACTCTCCAAGATATCTCAAATCTGCATCCCCAATATTGACAAATACCCTAGGTTTTATACTGGCACGTTTAGTGAGAAGATGCAAAGCATGATATAATACCAATGGTGAGAAAATCAAAAATCCAACAGAGTCAAAGGAAGAAATAGCTTAGCCGGCTTGGGTGAAAATAGGATAGGTCTTTGGAGAGAGGCATCAGGGTCAGGAGAGGAATTGCAAGGCTGTGAAAATCAAAACCCTACGGACAGTGGTTTGTAGGACTACAACCATATACTAAATAATAGAATGTATAAGAATTAGGAATTCCACAGACAGAGTTATCCTCTCTGTTCTCTGAACGGTACAGGATACATGTAGAGAAAATAAATTAAAAAAAATTTTGCCCAATTGTGGATAAAATTTGGCATTTTCAACAAAATATCCTATAGATATTAGATATCCTATATCTATTAGATAAATAGATATGGTGGCACGGATGTATGCTCAAAAGAAAAATCACCAGACTCCTCTCTTTTGTTCTCATTTTTTCGTTTTTGTTTTGTTGTTGGAAAATATGTCTTAGAATTAGTGGATACTAATACATTCTCTAAATAGTTTTATAAAGAAATGCTAGTTAAGGACTTTGCTGGTGGCGCAGTGGTTAAGAATCTGCCTGCTAATGCAGGGGACACAGGTTCGAGCCCTGGTCTGGGAGGATCCCACATGCCGCGGAGCAACTAAGCCTAGGCACCACAACTACTGAGCCTGCGCTCTAGAGCCCGCAAGCCACAACTACTGAGCCCGCGTGCCACAACCACTGAAGCCCACACACCTAGAGCCCGTGCTCTGCAACAAAGAGAAGCCACCGCAATGAAGAGTAGCCCCCACTCAACGCAACTGGAGAAAGCCCGCGCACAGCAATGAAGACCTAACGCAGGCAAAAATAAATAAATAAGTTTTTTTCTTAATTAAAAACAAAAGAAAGGCTAGTTATATTTTACTTTATTTGATTTGGACTACTTAATGTGCTAACTTTTTATTGTTGATCGGGTTAATTCAGTTTTATTAAAGCCAACATTAAATTACCAGGAAAAACAAAAATCAAAAGGTTAATATGTTATTTTGAAATGCATTACAAATAAGGTGGATTAATGGATGGGTGAGGATAGATAGATGTGTGAAAAATCAGTGTAAGAAAACGTTAAATGTAGAATCTAGGAGTGGGGATATGGGTGTTCACTATAAAAATCTTTCAATTTGTCTGTATGTTTGAAAATTTTCATAAAATTTTGGAAAGAAAATGCAAAAAAAGAAAAACATCAAAAGGACAACCAGAGATTTCGGTGCCCAGATAGATAGATAGATAGATAGATAGATAGATAGATAGATAGATAGATGATAGATAGACAGATAGATTGATAGATTGCTTCATTTCCTGAAATAATAAACTAGGGACTTTGTCAGTATTCTTGACCTCAAACAAATAGACTGCCAAATATTTCTCCAGCAAAGATGGTTTATTCAGGACCAACAGAGAATTGCAATTTAGCAAAGGAAAGAGAGCACTTCTTTAGAGGGAAAAGAAAGTTGGGAGGGCTGTGATAAACAAAGAGTCCATGGCTTTTCATTGGCTGAGTCCTTGCCAGGAAAGGAGTCTTTCTTCTTGCCATTGGACTCTGCTCTCCTTGCAGGGCCTGAGAGCTCCCCCTTCTGGTCTCCCAACTCTATTTAATTGAGGGTTTCATTCATTAATTTTTTACAGTATACAGCAATTAAGAAAATGTTACAGAAACCAAAGCCTTGCATTAGAAACCTCAAATGTGGTTTCTAGGTAAAGGATAAAATGCTGGAGATTAGCTATGGTAGTGGAAAGTATCCATTTATATGGAAATACCTTTTCCTGCCCCACCTTTACATTGGTGTTATGCTTTGTAAGTATCTGAATGTTCTGGGCATATATTGTCACCTGGGGGCCCAGGTCTGTCCGTTAAGACTCTCTAACTCTCCAGGAGATCCAAATGATACAAGTTAGGCTTGTCTTCAGATGGAGAGCACAAGAACAGAAACACGTAGCTACTTAACTTAAAGATCAACATTATATGGAACCAACCAAAAAAATACCTCACTAATGTTTATATCCAGTCATGAAAAAGAGCTTTCTGTATTTTTTTCTGATTTTGGTCCACACCATTTTAAATATTCTTTCCTCTTAAAGTCAAATTGGAATTTTCAATGAGTCTAAAAAAGACCTGATTGGTTTAGAATTGATTAACGTAGGAGTATTCACTGCTTATCGTATTCAAGGTAAATAGCACTTGATTATCAGTTGATTAGTAGCTCCTCTGAATTACTGCAAGCATTTCTCTTCACATTCAACACTGGATCCATCTTCCAAAGTTCCCAGAACTGCAAAGCTTCAGATTCATGAAGAGGGTGCCTTGACAGTTCCATTGTTTCTAAGCAGGATCAAAGGATCTCAGAAATCCCAGACAAGTTGATATTGACCCTTTTTAAAAAGTTATGGACAAAGGAAGTGTTTCTGCAAACCTCCTTTAGATACAGGGTCAAATAACCAGTTGGAAAATTTTCTAAAGGTGTCACATTAAACTTTAATAATACCTTCATTTTTATGGGGCTTTTAACTTTGGAAATTGCTTTCACGTGCATTATCTCATTGCATGTTCTCTTTCATTGAAACAGTGTCTAGGTTTTAGGGCTAAATTGCAATGACATAGATATCAAAATGTTGACAAGGACAATTCAAGAAAAATGATTACTACTGTGCCAAACAGAAGTATCTACAAGGAACTGACTGACTTCAAGATCAAGTACTACGGTGTGTTAAGATTCTGATGGTTCCTTTAGCCCGCTGCCCTACTGCTGGAGCTTTCTCGGAGCCATTTCACCTTTTTTTTTTTTTCAAGGAGGAAATGAGTCACTTCTTTTTGTCTCCTTCCATCCTTCTTATTTCTGATTTTCTTTTTCTTTTCAATCAATCTCCAGGTGAGCCCGACCCCAGGCTGCATCCGTGCGCTCATGAAGATGCTGTACTGCCCTTACTGTCGGGGACTCCCCACGGTGAGACCATGCAACAACTACTGCCTCAATGTCATGAAGGGCTGCCTGGCAAATCAGGCTGATCTCGACACCGAGTGGAATCTGTTTATAGGTAAGGAGCGGCTCCGCGGATCCAAGGACAGGGGTGTGGGAACAGCAGGTGTTCGTGGTACCTGATGGGCAGGTCCAAACTGGTGATGACTTGTAGAGACTAGGAGGGTTAAAACAAACACAGGCGCGCGCGCGCGCGCGCACACACACACACACACACACACACACACACACACAGGCGCGCACGCACACACAGCGTTTAGCAAATTATAAATATTATATTGCATTTTTCTTTAATTTTTGTAAACCTGAAAAATAAGACTTCCTGGTCTGTTGTGAAAGACTTTCCCGTTAAAGATTGTACGAGCCAGCTGTACTGGATTAGCTGATCTCTCTGATGAAGATAAAAGTAATCTTGTTGAATTTCTGGGAGCTCCTGTGAGTAAGGGACATGTTAGAAAAGAATCTTGTTTTAAGAAAAAGCCCACAGTACTGTCTCTTTCTTATTTGTAGTATCTCAACATAGTCACAGATATTAGTAAACAATTCCTTCCTTAAACATCCATGATGAAAATAACTCAATATTTTTGCTAAAATATGCAGATTTTCTTCCTCAGTATCTAGAGAAGAATGTTTTCAGCACAGCAGCATGAAACAGCCTTCCTGTCTTTAGAAGGGAGGAAGGAGGGAGGTGGGGAGATACAGGGAAGTTCTGTGAATCACCACTGTGGTCTGGAGTGGCAGAAACCACTCACGAGTCTGCACTGCCAAAAGATATTTCCCAAATAGCTATCCAAGGATGAAAGGACAAATTTCATAGGCAGGCTTCTCCCAGGAAAATACACAGACCTTGAAAGAGTAAATGTGTTTTCTCCCGCTCTGTCAAATAGCCTTCAAATAAAAGTACTTTCAATTGCTTTTACTGGGATTGCATAGTGACAGGCAGAGTGGTGCCAGTAACAGTGGCACTCGTCAGCCTCAGAGGGACAAAGTTATTTATGCAAACCTGTAAACCAGTCTTCTGACATCTAAGATTTGGGTAGGAAAGGAAAAGGATGCATCGGAATGCAAAGAAACCTTAGCCCACCGTGCAAAAATGCGCATTCAGCCTTGGTGTCAAAAGCCATTACCTGACACACTATTATGCTTAGGAAGCCCAGAGAAAACTGTTTTGAAGTTTTAGAAAAAAGATTTTAGAGTGGGTAGATCCAAATGGAAGTCATCCAACAAAATCTCAGAAATCATTACAGAGAGAATAAATTGATGTATTCTTCTCTCTCCCTTCTGCGGGAGGACAAAATCCTTTTGTATGATCTTCAGTTACCTCATTTGAGAAATGAAGGAGTTTTTTTAAAAGTTAATCATTAAGGTACCTTTCTAATCAAAAATGATATGATTCTTTGCTACGATTTTTGTTCTTTGCTAAGATTTTGGAAAGGAGTATGAATTTTTTTTAAAAAGTAAGCTTGATCTTCTAAAATATAAATTTACATGAATTTTGGCAAAGACGCTACCTAAATAATGCTAATTAAAAAATACTCTCATCCTTCATTAGTCTACTCAATTCAAAAGGAAAAAGTAATTCAAATGTATTATATTGATATAATCATATTGTCACTTGCATCTGTAAAGCCTAAACTAAAACAATTTTATAAATCGAGAGTGGTAAAATTAAAACAAATCTGTAAATTAAATGCAAACTACAAATAAAAAAAAACTTAAGGTTACCCAAAAAAGTACTCTCATCAAGAAATCTAAAAAGATTTACCTATTTAGAAAAACAGATAAAACTTCATAGCATCATCACTCTTGCATCATAAAGATTATTCATACGGTTTGGTTGAAACTGCCATAATTCATAACACAGTTAAACTGTTTTGGTCAGCTTGCAATTTATTGATGAAAGTAGGCATGTGGATTTTGTTAAGTAGAGCAGGACATGATTAAAAATGAGAATATGAGCTTTTTAACTTGTAAGAGCAACAAGGACTTCTTAATTGGCTTTTTGTTCTCAGTCCTGGCTGGGTATTTGACGTGAAACAAATCCTTATACTTCAATCAACTGGGTTTCCTAGATGCCAGTTTGATGTGAAATTGAATGTCTGGAAAATCATTTCATTTAAAAAACTAACATTTGAACCCAGCCTATGTTGGAGTACCTGATGTTGTACCATACGTTGCAAGGGAACCTCATGGTAATCCTACCTTCTTAATATATTTCATACCTCTTGCTCCTCTATCTCATTTTTTATTTGTCCTAGAGATCTCTAAGAAAATTCTTCCAATTTTCTTTCTTTGGGTTTTGCTATGGCATTGAGAATTGACTACCCACCTAGACTTATAGGGCAAAATATGTTCTTACTAATACTTGTCCAGATGTGAAGTGTTAGTTCACGAATTTATTACATGAATTCAAATGTGCCAAGTCCATTTCCTACACAGATACATCCAAGATGACAGTGTTCATGAATGCAGCAGCAAAAGATCAGTGAGCAAATCAGTAATTCAACAAAAATTATATATAATAGCCCTCTCTCTGATTAGCACCTGCATCCCATCACTCTTGGGCTCCCAGCATCTTGCCATCAAACCCTTTACTCCTACTGCTGTCAGTTGCACGTGCTGTCTCTGTCTGCTACGTTAATGTCCTAGTTTCTACATTTTTAATACATGGTCATCTAAAATGTTAACAGTGACATGCAAGCAACCATCAATAAAAACAAAGATCGAACTGGTGGCACATTCTCATCATCTTTAATTATGAATTAATTGAAAGTGATTTGTAACGATTTAGAATTCAGTTGGTGTCTGCATCATGTCAAAAGAAAGGCACTCCACTGATAAAATGAAATGTTTTAAGTGTTCAAGTAAAAACCCCAGTGGTATTCCATTCAGTTCTGAGGTCCTGTAGTTTTTTTTTTTCTTTTTTGGTTTTTTTAATCCTAGGGGAAAAATAAATCAGGATATTTGGGATATATTTTCATAGTCCGAGGGAAAACGGTTTGTGGGCAGAACACAGTCGTTTCGGTAATGTCCTGTGGTTCTTTTGAGTGTTTGGCATTGATACCAGCATTCCACAGATAAGAACTCTTCCGTTGGACAAGGGACCACGTTGCAGATTACACCTAGCTTGTGAGCACAAAAGTTAAGGCTGAAGTTACATTTATATGGCTATAATAAATCTTGCTTCTACTTAAAAATCTAGGATATGTGGGAAAGCCTCCTCCTAACATCTGGTACCTTCTATAACTAGAGAATAGAATGGACTGAGAATTAGAAAGGAGAAAAAAAGTGGTTTTTCGGTATTAGGAAGCAAATGTTGGTGAGACTAAAGATGGATTCTGTGTTGTTCTGTAATTTTTTTATTACTGAAATGCTGTAGGATACTTACTACTGTAAGTAAAAGGCAAAATGACCTCTGTAGTTCCATGTAAAAGTGAGACCTTAACGTGTTTTTCCCCAACATGGGAGCTTAAGTTTTTAGGTTATCCCAGTTACTGAACGCTTATACTCTTAACATATTAATTCAACTCATTATATTGAGTAAGCTAGACACATACATTTTTTTGCCCTCAGGGAATTTGATGTAGTTAAATTAATTATAATCAACTGTGATAAAGTGTTATGAAAATAGAAGCACGGGATGCCAAGTGTCTCCTCAGCAGGGGAACTTAACCTCATCCGGGGGGTCAGGGAAGCCCTACCTTGCTAAGTATAGAATAAAATACTTATTCTATTGAATAAGTATTGAATTATCATTGTCAAACATAGTTGATGTTGAGCAGCTGTAATATATATAATTGTGACATTATAGGCCCCAAGTATTAGCAAGTCCCCGTGACGATTTCAATAGGTCTAGCGCGATCTATCAGCGGTTCTTAAATACTTGGTTTCTTTTTGACACGTTTTATGATCAACTCTCACCACCAGCACTGCAACTGACTTGAAATGATAAGATTTGGAAAAATGTGTGTTCATTTTTGTCCAGAAAAGGTTGAGTTCTCTGGTCTATTGGTACCCTCTAATGAGGGAGAGACAGAAGAGCAGTATTTTTAATTTAAGCATTTAGGCCTTGGGCACTCGTAGATCAGACAAACCAGTGATATCAAACTTTCTGGGCTTTCTTCCTCCTTTCAAACCAATCAATTACTAAAGTCTCAAGACAGAAAACTGGCACGAGAACACAAACAGAAAACCCAATGTAAGTACCACATCTGTGCCAGGCCAAGAGACAATGCAGTGGGTACTGTTCATTCATCCTCTCGTTTATTCGTAAATACAGCACATGTTTGCTGAGTGTCTAGCATGGATCTTGCTCTGGTGTAAGCATTGGAGTAGAGAAGCTAAGGCCCTGCCTGCTGAGAACAGGGCTCAATATATATTCTTTGAATGGAATAAATGGAAACAAGTAGGCAGAGGAATGGACAGGAATGCAGTTAAGAGGCTGTTCTGTTTCACTTTGTAAGTCTACTCTTTTAATGGAAGTATGACTAATTCAGTCATTTAAAAAGTGCATATCCCTGTTGTTAATGGACTCTATGAGTGCAGGGATGGCAGAAACAAATCAGGTAATGTGCCTGGTTCTTTCATTGTGACAGCTGCTATCAAGTTGTAAATTAGAGCCAGCCACAAGGAAGCTGTGTTAGGTCAGTCAAAGGACTCGTGTCATATTATAAATGGCTATTTGGGGCCACGGATGACTTTCTTAGGACCTGTAAGAGTTGTTTTATCCTCAGGGTATTTAGTGTATTCACAACTTTCTATCTGGGGGAAATGTTGCTAGATAAACATGTATCGTTTCTTATAAGTAAACTTGGGTTATCTCTTTATAAAATGTACAGGACTGTGAGATGTTGCATTTCAGAAGGATATAAAATCAACACAAGGAGCTATTTCAAGCGTTTGTATAAGATACTCCTCTTTCAAAGACTTTCTTAAGCATGAAATCCTATAAATCTGATACATGTTTTAGTTATAAAGAATTCCGTAGTAAATGCGATATGACTGTGGCTGATATATCCTGAAATGCCATGTTTCAAAAACCTCTAGACCCTAAACATA